ATCAATGAAGTCAGAGAAGGTATTGTTAATAGGATGAAGGAAGTAAAAGAGATGATCATGACTGAAAAGGACAAGGAAGATTTTGAAAATGCTACTAATTGCTTTATCTGTGGAAATGATTTTAAACCTGAGGATAAGAAGGTCCGTGACCATTGTCACTTTACTGGAGCTTACAGAGGATGTACCCACGATGATTGTAATCTTGATTTCAGATACAGCGTTAGAAACCCGTATGTTAAAGCCGATGAAGATTTGGATTTATTGACTGATAAGGGAATGGATCCTTATGACTACTTTGGTGATTTTGAAAGATTTAAGGAAAGGGCTTTACCACCGAAAGAAGCGTTTTACAGTAAATTGAGTGAAGAACCTGTAAGTGATAAAGATTATGAAGGGGCATTGAAAGTATGGAAGCACTTCGGGATTAGAACACTCGGGCAGTATCACGACCTGCATTTAAGAACTGATGTTTCACTACTGACCGATGTATTTGAAAACTTTAGGGACTTGTGTATGGAATACTACGGTTTAGATCCCGCTCATTATTACACACTACCAAATTTCGCTTGGGACGCAATGCTTCTAAAAACTGGTGTTGAGATAGAACAATTGCATGACCAAGAAATGTTTGAGATGGTTGAAAAGGGAATGAGAGGAGGAATGTGTCAAGTCAGTCATAAATTAGGCAAAAATAAGTATATGGAGGAAGCATATGATGAGAACAAGCCATCAAATTATATTAGTTACTTGGATGCTGATAACTTGTATGGTTTAGCAATGTCCCAGAAGTTGCCATTGAAAAATATCAAGTGGGCAAAGAAAACGCCCAGTGTTGAAAATTGGAATGAAAACGATGAGATTGGTTATATTATGGAAGTTGATTTGGAGTATCCCGAAACATTGCATGATTAGCATGATTACCACTCCGACTATCCACTAGCACCTGAAATAATGAATGTAAATGTGAATATGCTTTCCGATTATCAAAAGCAAGTCTTCAAAATATATTATGATGGAAAAACCCCGAAGGACGAGAAAACAAGTAAGTTAATATTAAATGTAAAGGATAAAGACAAATATGTGGTTCATCTCAAGACTTTACAGTATTATTTGAAAATGGGTTTGAAAATGACCAAAGTCCATAGGATAATAAAATTTCAACAAAGGGCATGGTTGAAACCGTGGATTGACTTCAGCACTGGTAAAAGGAAAGAAGCCAAAAGCGATTTTGAGAAAGATTTATTCAAATTAATGAATAATTCCGTGTATGGAAAAACTATGGAAGACAAGCGAAATCATATGGATTTTGAATTAGTTGATAATGAGGTAAGATATGAAAAATGCGTGAATAATCCAACATTCAAAAGTAGATTTATTATCAATGAAAATCTGGTAGGAGTTGAGAAGACTAAAGCAAAACTGAAACTGGACAAACCAATCTTTTTAGGAATGACCATCCTTGACATCAGTAAATTACATATGTATCAGTTCTACTACGATGTTCTTAAGAAGAAATACAATGAAAACATCACACTGGTTTATACTGATACTGACAGTTATGTAATTCAAACAATGACTGATGATGTCTATAAGGACTTCAATGAGATAAAGCAACATATGGATTTTAGCGACTATCCTGTTGAGCATCCGTGTCATGACAAAACAAATAAGAAGGTCTTAGGAATGTTTAAGGACGAATGCTCTTTCAAGATAACTACCAAATTCATAGCTCTGAAACCAAAGCCATATGCTTTTACAATACACGGCGAGGATGATGCACATAAGAAATCAAAAGGTGTAGTCAAACACAAGGTGAAAAAAGAACTGTCGTACCAAAACTACCACGAAGCATTATTTCAAAGCAAAAAGCACGAAATCACATATAATTTTATTAGGAGTAAGTCTCATCAAATATATTCAATGTCTCAAGTTAAGCAACGTCTGAGTAATTATGAAAACAAAAGGTTCTATATTGATGCTTTCCCTTCACTGCCTTATGGGCACTATAGGATAAAATGACTATCTAAATAGTTCTAATCGTATGAAATTATTAGAATTATTTTCTGGCACTTCTTCAGTTGGTAAAGGTTTAAAGGAAAGACTGACTAAGTAGGTAATGGAGGAAAGTAAGTAAAAAAAGGGAAAGGTTTACAAAGTAGTAGATACAAATGAGACTAAATGCTACATTGGAAGCACTTGCTCAAGATTGTTGAGTAAAAGGATGGGACAAAATAGGGAGAAATACCTGAAATATAAGCTTGGTGAATTTCCTAATTATTGTGTGTTTGATTTGTTTGATGAATTCGGTATGGACAACTGCAAAATTCAAGAATTGAACATATATCCTTGCAATACTAAAAAAGAACTTGAGGTGAGAGAAGGGCACTTCATTAAAACAATGGTTTGTGTTAATAAGTGCGTGGCAGGAAGAACTATGAAAGAATGGAGAGAGGACAATAAGGAAACGATTAAAGCGAAAAAGCAAATATACAATCAAAATACCATAGAACATAGGAGGAAATACTGGAAAGCAAATGAAGAGCATATCAAAGAACATTAAAAGCCATACAGCAAAGCATATAGGATAGAAAAAGCAGAGCAAATCAAACAGCAGAAGAAACAGTATTATGCGGAAAACAAAGAGACTATCAATGAGAAAACAACCTGTGAATGTGGAATAGTCCTTAACAAAAGAGATAAAGCAAGACACGAACAAACAGACCGACATAAAGAATACTTACAGTTTCAAATGATAACAAAGATGAAAGCAAAAGAAAGACAATGTGCGAATGTGGAACACTTCACTTTACAAGGCAAAGGAAAAGACACGAAAAGAGCAAACAACACCAATATTATATGAGACAAAAAAAATCTAAATAATTCTAATATGAACTTATTAGAGCTATTTTCTGGTAGTGGGTCGGTTGGGGTAGTAGCAAAGTTGCTCGGTTATAATGTTATATCGTTAGATTTGAAATATGCAGCTATTAATTGTGATATACTTGAATGGGACTATACTCAGTTTGATAGAAACCACTTTCAAGTAATTTGGGCATCCCCTCCATGCACGGAATACAGTAGGGCGAAAACAACGGCTGTCCGAAAGATGGATTATGCTAATAGCATTGTTTTAAAAACTTTGGAGGTAATAAGGCATTTCAATTGTCAATACTGGATAATAGAAAATCCCCAAACTGGACTTTTGAAGGAACAACCGTTTATGAGTGAGTTGAAATATTTTGATGTGGATTACTACAAATATGGAATGAATTAACGAGGTTGTGGTCAAACATTGAAACATGGAAACCCAGACCATTATGTAATAGGGATTGTGGGAAGGTTAGGAATGGGAAACATTTCGAAACTGCTCAACGCTTACCACCAAAAACTAAGGCGGAATGGGGCGATAATCCTATCATTCATAAACAGGAAGACTTGTATAAAATACCTTCTGAATTGATTAGTGAAATATTTGCTTGTTTGATTGACGAACCAGCATCACCAGCAACCAGCATCACCAGCAATCAGCATCATTAGAGCGTGTCTCACAATGAAGCACCTTACAGGGTGGTCAATCCCAGAGGGTGGGATTTCTCAGTATCTTCGGTCGTTCCCCGAAGTGGGGTTTTCATTCCCACAATTAGGGTTTTAGTGCTAGATGGTGGCAAAACCCAAGGACAGGGAAGTCTTAAAATAAAGCAACAGTCCTAGCAGAGGAGGCAACATCCCAAGGACTGGGATTTCAAAACCCTCGGTCTGGGATTGATGAAAGTCAAGACGGAACCCAGAATTTGGGATTGGGGTCGGGGATTTGAAATCCCAAGGTCTGGGATAGTGTCAATCCCAAGGTCGGGGATTTTTAGAGTTAGTGCGCGTTGGATTTTTTGTTTATTCATATTATCTAATTATAATATGATTAAACAGTATATATATATATATATATATTTAATAACCTTTCATTATACTATAATTTTAACCTATAACAAAATTTCAATGACAAAAACACTGACAAAACAAATACACCACCAACACCCCAGAACTTGATAACTACTAAAAGGGCTAACTCTTTCAAATGAAAAAAATGTCAGCCCCCAGCTCAACAATGAACAAGGTGAGAATTTACCCAAATGATTACCTTAACGAAAACGATATATAAGCTCCCCAAAACACCCCTTTTCAAAACGAAGAAGGGGGAACACAGAGTTGAGATGAACATAAAAACCAGAGCAGGGGACCATCAACTGGCCTCCCCTCAGGCCCCCCCTTTTTACCATTTTTTGGGGGAGGGGGGAACCAGGGAATGTACAGCCGTGACAGTCCAGCACCCAAAGCAGCGCCAGCACCTGGATAACACCGGCCAACTGGTTCCTGCAGGCAACTCGTGCCCTGGAAGCACCCATCAGCACCCACCACCAAGCACCCCGGCCAGCCTACCAGCCTACACCCAGTTTGCAAATTCACAACAACCCTGCTCATATATGTGTCGCCCATGTGAATGTGCAAATAGGTACGTGCGTCTATGAATCGGGTGTGCAGTTGCAAATGCACGGTTGGCATGCCCACGTGCGCCAAACATGCAAACGCAGAGGCGAACCCAACCTCAAGTGGGTCGCAGCAGAAGGAATGTTCATAGGTGCAGCATTCCCAAGCTCCCAGTCCCAGCAATGTACGTACCCCGCAGACAAACAAAAAAAAAACTCAGCCAGCCAGCCAGCCAGCCAGCCAACCAGCCAGCAGCTTGCCAGGCCAGCCAGCTAGCGTGCAAGCAAGCAAGCAAGCAAACACTCCTACACAAAAGCAGAAGAATGGAACAAACGTCCCCCCTTTCCCACATGTTGCAAAACACAACACAGCCCAAGCAAAAGCATCTCCGGCTCTTTGGATGTGACGTCGTAAAATGTCAAGTTCAGGTGGCTTGGGCCATGGTAGCGGTGCAAGGTAGTATGGGATCAAACCACCCGACCAGCCAATTTGGCATCCACTTGACATCTTCGAGGCGCGTTTTGGGCATTTGCCTCCTCGCAGAAGGCCCTCACCAGGGCGGACTTCCCCACCCCGGCATCCCCCACGGTCATCAGCTTTATGTCCTTCACTTCCCGTGCCTTGGGCGCCACTCTCCGGCGCTCCACTGGCTCCATGGCGTTTCTAGGCTCCGGCGACCCCCAATTTGGATCGGGCAAATGGGCCCTTGGGGCTTGGGGTGGCGTGGCCCTTTCAGGCTGGCTTGAGCTTGCACGCACTGCAGCTTCATAGCATGGGTTCACCCAGCAGATGGGTACGGCGATCGACAAGGCCAAAAGGCTGCAAGCTCTGGCATGGCATCGCGGCATGTTTAAGAGTTGGTGTGGAAAGACTCGAACACAAAGCCCGGGAAAGCACCAAATCAAAGTAGCACAGTCTGCTCACAATTATCCCCACCCCACATCTTTGGATTTGGGTCAGTGTGTTTCCAAAAACTACTCTCAGGTTGAAAACGCTCCGCACATACGGGCCACTAAGTTGAGTATATAACTGTAACAACGCAAACAACAAGGATGATCACGCACCACTTTTCAGATACAATTTGTCCGAACCGCGGACTGCCTTGAAAGGACTGCCTTGAAAGTGCTCAGGGCTTTTCTGCTTCAAGCGCCAAGAAAAAAGACAAACACGAGACATCGTTGGCAACGCCCAGTCCTGTAGTGGAAGGCGAACTCTGCTGCAAAGTCGGCCATCAACTCCTGGCAGAGTAAGAAAAAGCAACATCGCCAGTAGCGTTCATCAACAAGCAAACACCGAACACCGCGCACACACACACACACACAAGTCCGAATTGCAGGACACCATAACTTCAGGGATCCACCCTGAGACCCCCCCCACCCCCAAAGGATCAAGGCCTATTCAGCCCAATCAGTGCAAGCCCCATCTAGGCGAGGCTCCGTATGCCGAAGTATCTTTTCATGCTTCTCAACCTGGGCAATGGCAAACTGCTCATATGGCCTGCGCCCTGCAGATGTCTCAGCTTGTATCACCAGCATCGATGCGCTCCCCGGTGTCTTAAAGAACACAAAAGGCGCTGTTCGTGCAAGAGCTAATCTCTAACTGGGTCAAAACATTTAGGTTGACGCCGGCCAACTTCGGCCAAGTAGCATTGATCTTCAGCAATGAGGATGGGTTTGGACTCGACAGTGTGCCAACATGCTTCCAGTGCGTCCTTGGCGGCGCATCAACACCTCACAAACGACCCATAGGACCCATCTCACTTGAAAGCTTTTCCCCCGTCAGAAAGCAAGGTCGTTGGCAGCTAGGCATCCACAACGCAGCCTCCGCCACGATGATCTCATGATGGGTGTTAACCTCGGACCACGGCTGGCTGCAGCTGATTGCCGCTTACTGAGGCGTTTGTTTGAGGACTACCATTTTAGACCACAATGTATTTCTCATAAATGACTCCGGCCCATGCGTGAATCAACAGACGTAAACAGAAGTCCCGCCATCTGGGGTGGGCCTGCGCCTCTTCGGTCTGGCGCGTGCATAAGTCAAATAATACAGGGCTGAGCGCGGCATCACTTAGTTTCTAATTGCTAAGCCCACCTTGCAGACAAAATGCTCGCACTTTCCGACGAACTCTCGAAGTCTTTGTGTTCTGGATGTACTGGAGCGATCCTGATGAACTCTGATGTTGCAATTCGACGGGATTGGCGTTGGCGAATGCTCTCCAGTTGATTTAGTGTGTGGGCCCCGCTTCAGAAAGGCCATATTCCACTCGGAGTGCCAAAACAAAACACATTCCGCGGGGATTACGGCTTTGAAGCCTGCTCGAGTATTATCAACTGCTCCTGTCTCCACGAAGAAGGCGCCGACGGCGACCTCTCCTGGCAACAGACTGAGTGCGGCAATTTCAAGCTTGGGCAATATGCACGGCCCAAATTGCAAATCGCAACATGCAACTCTTTGGGCAGGAGTTGGAAAGTTGTTTCTTCAGGAACTACACATAGCAAATCCGTGTGACAATGTGCAACGGTGTGCACAATCACTGAAAGGATTTGGCCATGGGCAATGTGGTGTTTATATAATGGGCTTGTACCTGAACTATGAATACGGCTGGCTTATTGGGAAACTACTGCAACACGGCCGAGTAGAAATTCATGAACAGCTGCAGGAAGCTCTGTTGGTTGTTGGTTCTGAGGGTGGCATCTTCTATCCAGATTGGTTTTGCCATCCAGCCCCACCCGGCCTGCTTCGAAGATAGTGTCGCCTCCCACGGAAGGATGGCAGTGGCAAGTTCGACAGCCGATTCAAACAAGCTGGCTTGCTTAGGTTCAAAGGGCTGCCGAACCGTTCCCCAGCTTGCCAAGTCCCAGTCATGAGGTGGAAGGAACTGAACTGCCAAATTGCCAAGAGCGATGCCACAAATGACCTTGCTCCAAGCAGTGAGGAGCACCGTTCATTCTTGCCACCGTCTTGCTTATGCCTTGGGGCTGCAACGTTGAGTGAGCCAACCCCCCCCCCCCGATAACAAGTAAATTATTTAGAACAACAGTGCAGAGCCTGGTCGTGTGAAACAACTGTTGCTCAGCCGAGCAACAACTTGAGAGGGGGTAGTGGCAAGCCAGCCGGACAAAGCCGAAACTCTGAAATGGCAAGTACCAGCCAAGTCCAGCCCACAGTGTGCGTGACTCGAACCGCCTCAAAGCCTCCTCGACACCAGCTTTTGGGACAAACCATGGAGCGGCTCGCCTGCGCTGAAAAAGGTGAAAGTGATGCACTCGTACATGAGGGACTTGAGAGCTGCAGGGTCTGCGTGCTGGCACCTGGTATCGCGCACAGTCCGGCCAATGCTTTGAGCTTGTCAAAGCATAGGATTGTAGTGGTGTGCAATACATATATATATATACATTGAAAAGGCCAACCCAAAGGTAGAAAAATATCTAAGCATTTAGACTTAAAAAGAGGTTCACTTGAGGAATTCTGAAAGGAAACATCTGGCTTGAAACGCCCTGCAGGGCCAGCAGCTGCCTTGCCCGGCGGCCTGCTGCCTGAGGCCCGCACACTCGGTAGAAGCCACTGCCTCATTCCCAAGGTGCTTACGCTCCCAAAAATGAACATGAAACACGGACACCTTGATTTCTGTAGAAATCTCCTTTTGAGAGCCCTGGTTGGGGGGCCATCTTCATCTGCAAATCGCTATCAGCAGTTTGAGACTGGCGCATTGATGGGATGCGACCGAGTTGCGCATCACATACGGATGGCAAAGTTCATGCTGCAGTTCCATGCGTAGATCGGAGGACAAAATCTTCAGCGCGGTGACATCCTCGGCAAGCGCGCTTGCGCTAGAGGTTCCAGCCTTCATGGCGGCACGGCCTTCCAAGAAAAATGCCTTCACACAGCTGACAGGGAAACGGAGGAAACGGCCACGGTAACTGATAGAGTTTAGAAATGGCGTCAGGAGGCAAGTGACTTTTTCATCCCAAGTCGCTGTCACTGTGAGCGGCTTCACTTCCATCAGCCGCTCGAGCGCTTGCTTTTGCACACCTGGGCAGCAGCCATTCAAAGACTCATGTCAACCTCTTCTCTCTGTCATTAACCCCTGTTCCACTGGTTGCTAGCAACGCCGGCTTCTTTGTGTCTGTTTTCCTACCCCTACAGTTCCTGCTTGTCATTCATGCATGCGCTGAGTTGCGTATGTGTGTGCTGACGGTTGGGACGAACAACAGAGTGCAGTCCCAAACAAGGTGGTTTTAAGGGTGGGCCTGCCAGTTGGAAAACCGGACGGCCCCGTCAAGCGGCCCATAGAGAGCTTGTTGCTGATCTTCGCTTGCCGCAGAAACCGGCGGAGCTCTGACATCCTGCCGGAGTTCGGAAGCCATTCGCAGTGAAGCAAAGTCGCAGAGTAAACGACCCCTGAAACATGCGCTTTAAACACGCGCACACACACACATACACACACAGACACTCTCTGGGCGAAGCACTTACTGTGAGTCTGAAAAAAAATCAGCGCTCTGAGTCGAGGTGCTGGTTGGCCGTCTGTGTGCTCTTCATTCTAAAGTTCACCTTTGTGCAACCCGGGAAACGTCGCAAGCCGATGGACGGCCGGAGCATGAGCCAGTGTCTTCTCTCAGCTGTTCTCGCTGATCCTTTTCTTCTCTTGAAAGTGAACATCTCACTGGGGCCTCTTGGCTTAAACGAGGCTTTCCGACCAAGCAGTGCCACATGCCAAATAGCAATCGGCGCCAATGCCGTTGAAGACACCATAGTTGCAGACAGCGATGAGATAAGAGAACTGAAGAAGATCATGCCAAAGATCAGTGCGAAGATATTGAACATGCGCTCCAGCCTTGCAGCATCTGAGAAACATAGGGCAGTTGAAAAAGTCTGAAGAAAGCGAACCCATCTGTCACCACGAACGCCAAAAACAATTTCAGCTTCAATCTGTTGCGCGGACGCATTCGCTCAAAGACTTTGCCTCACTGTCCGGGCTGAGCCCCAGACGAGTTCCGCGGGAACACCTTCCAGGAAAGGCGCAAAGCAACACATTGCCTTGAAGAGAGTGCTTGAACAACGCGCATGGAACCCCCTTCCGTGATGGCGAGTGCCAACCTTGCCTGCATTGACCCTGGCGTCATCTGCGTGATTGCCCAGTGAAAGGCTGTGGTGTACTGGAAAAGCCTCGCGTTGAGGCAAGCCGCAAGTGAGGAATGGTTCATGCTTGGGAGGAAAGCCTCTCCTGACTTGCTCCGAGCAAGAGCGTGGGAATCCTCATTTGATGGAGTCGGCTTTTGAGAAGGAGATCCTCATGTGCATTTTTTCCAAAGCCTCTTGACAACTTGCAGGCTTGACCTTGGGCCACATTGCAGAAACGAAGCTTGAATGAGAAGAGTTAGGCAAACAACGCCTCAAACTAGAGTCAAACTCGCCACTAGTACTCAGTGGTTTACACTTATTTGTGAAAGGCAAATGCGGAGATGAAAACAATCATAGCCCCTCTCATTGACAAAAGCGCATCCAATTCGTTGCCCACTCAGCAGCAGCGATGGATCAAACCACTGGAATTGAACAGCCCTTAGTCTAAGAGCTCTTGGCTGAATCTTGTGTTTGCTGATAGGGGCACGGTGAAGGCTTTCCGTCACCGATTTTGTCCTGTGCGATCATAGCGCCCTTTGCACCTTACCTCAGTAGAATCCCAAGGTTCCGGCGGCAAAGCTTCCGAGTACAGGGGGCTGTTCTCATCCCTGATAGGGTCCATGAGCCAGCTAGTACCTCGCCCACCCGACGTGCTCTTGGTGGCGCACAGGTTTACCCTCCAAAACACCAATCGCATGTGCCTTTCGCCAGCCAACGACGGGGCACCTGTGTCTCCCTCTGTGACGCGGCCGACGTAGAACCACGTGCAGCTCATCACGTGGTTGATCCAAATAATGATAACGATCTAGGCAGACAGGCATGATTCCTGAACCCTGAACTGAGCGCTGTAGCAGTGGCTAAGTGTCCTGCCAATCGCGCCATGTCACCCACATACTTCCTGGCATAGGGCATTTGGCATACGCCAAGCGCTAAGCGCTGCCCTTGAGCTCCCTCTTTCTCTTAAGAAATTAATGATGCGACTCCCCCATGTTGCGCTCGGAATGCACACATGCGCAGCTTGCAGTTGCACAGCACATCAATTGGCGAGAAATGCTGTGACCAAAAACCCTGCAATCTGCACCCAGGCGCCCAATTCAGCCCAAGTCTCAAGGAAGACCCGCCATGAAGTCGATCGCCAATATGCCTCAGGCTGCCATGTGGGCATGTGGAGGCCGAGGAGGCAGGCTGGCCAAAATAAAAGCTCGGCAAGGCAGTAGGTGCGTTCTACGTGTTTCTGACGGCTCCCTCGTCTTGAAAAAGTCTTTGGATGCCTCCCATATTTTATTGAATGACAACAAAACTGCTGAAAGAAAATTGCAACAGAAACAGATAATTTCACATCACTTCACTGCAAATTTCGCAAAATAATATCACCTGGCCACTGCAAGGAAGTGCAAGTGATTACCACACACCCACCAACCAACCAACCAACCAACCAACCAACCAACCCACCCACCCACCCACCCACCCACCCACCCACCCACCCACCAGCCAGCCAGCCAGCCAGCCAGCAAACAAACAAACAAACAAACAAACAAACACACAGTCACACAGTTATACAATCAGACACACATAGACATATACCACTTATCCAATTCCTCCCGCACCCTAGTTGCCCGTCAAGAAGCTCCAGGTACTCCAGGATGCGGACCACCCGAGTGACGCTTATGATGCGAACAACCCGGGTAGCTTTGGAGAAGCGCACCAGCTTTGCACCTCAAAAGGCCGACCACAAATCCACAGACCGATATTCCTCTTCCAGGGACCTCCCGTCCAACCCAGAAACAAAATGATCGCATGCTTGTCATATCTGAGCAACACTAGCACGCAGGCATGTAAGGTGGGCATGTATGTTTCATTGCACAAGGTAAGCCAAACAAAGCAAGCAAGGTTCTACTGGAGAAAAGTAACAATTGGCGTGCCGACAACCTTCCCTGCCTACGCCTCACACAAATTTGGACTGTTTCGGCGAACCCTGCTACACGGTTGCTTGGGACCTGCTTTGGCAATGCCAGCTTTCACGCGCCAAGCACCGGCATGGCAAATTCCATCTCAGTGATGGCAACCCCCTATTTTGCAGCATACACCTCCAGGCAAGAACAAGACTGCCTGCGCGCAGGATGAACGAACCTTCCCTGTCTCGCAAGGTCCACACTTTCACTCCTGAGGCAGCCACCAATCAACTCCGGATTGTCAGACTGACAGGCCACAGGAATCATTGGTATTCACATTGCTGCATTTTGATTTGCAACTGACGTGCATCGATTTATTTTTGCATCTCCGGCCCCCTCTCTGCCTGCTCCTCTGGGAAGATGGCGTTGGCAAACACCGTAAGCCAGTCAACCAGGACCTCGCGGGCAGCTAACAGCATGCTAAGTTCCAAGGACCGAAGCAAAACCAAGTGGCGATGAGCAAGTCCGGCAGCATGGTGGTGCGAAAGTACCGCTTCAAGATGAGCCCAGGCTTCACCCTCAGAGAGGCCATGGCTGTCAGACCGTTTCTGGCACGCTCAAACAGAATGAACCCCGCTTTCTGGGCCCAAAGCCGTGACCTGTGCTTCTAGAAATCATGTCGTTTGGGGCGGGATAGTTTACTCAGGCCACTGTTGCCAACTAAGCTCGCAGCACGAGAGTCCCTGTCAGGGATGTCAACATGGGGCCCAAAAGCACCGTCACATTTATCCAAAAATTCATTCCCGCCAAATAGTGAGTTGTCCCTTTGCACTCTCCCAATTCTGCAACAGGGTGGTGCCCCACATCTACTGCAAACCTGTCTGCCCCTATCACCCTGAAAGGCCGAGTTGTGGACGGCGAACCCATTGCCTTGTTGGTAAAAGCCTGTCCGCATTGTGACCACTATGTCCACGGTCCAGAAGGTTGCGACAAAGGTCGTGCAATACCTTGCAATGGTGTCCAGGCGCGAAACCTTCAAGAATCCCAATGCGCCACCTATTTCAGCATCCGGTGTGTCACGAACCTCTCCGAATTCCACGCTGAACTCTGGACATCTTATCGCGCCAGGCAACGAGGCATCGAGTCTCCCGAGCAAGTTGCTTGCCAATACGCGAGAACTTTTGCGTTGCGTCCGTAATTGATGCAGTGGCCCTGCCTCCCCTGACCAACTAGTTGGAACCACGCTTCCAAGACCTGCACCCGGCCAAGTCACAGAAGCCAGCCCTTCATGGGGAAGTCCCAGGCGATGGCCACGGGTGTGACGCACAAGTCGTAGAGCAGAAACACCATAGCACAGAGGTCAAACCTCAAAGGCCGCCACGTCCGACTCACACAGTACTCTTCGGCTCAAGGCCTTCTTGCAAAGAAAAATCAACACTGAGGTGGAAAGTTCAGGGCATGCGTTCAGCAGCCTGCAGGCCCCAAGACTGCAACAACGTTTGAATACGCGCTGCCTTGAATGTCAAATACCGGAACTCTCCGGTCCTGGCCATTCCAGGCGAAGCGTTTCAGTTGTCGTGCGCCTTGCTTTGGTTGCCACGAAGCTTGTAAAGATTGGCTGTTGCTGATGAATGGCACCGCACTGAGCGGGTGAGGAGCAGTTTTGGGGCAAGGGCACATTTGGTTGTTCGGATTGGCGGACGTCTCCTGACCCCCGTGCTGTGGCATGCAAAAGTGAAATTCTGTCATCTCAGCGCTTTGCCGACATGGAGTGACTCGAGGGACTTGCTTGACAGGGCACACACTTGCCGAATTGACTTCGCTGGCAAAATAGCTTTAGCCAAGCTAGGGACCAACTCCCCCGAACCCCTTTCCCTTCGCACTCTCGCCCCTTTCACCCACCAATTTGGCTGAGGGTCACGATGCGCTTCTTCGAACTGGGCTCCAGAATGCACGACCCAAACCTGGCGCCAAGTTGCGCTTCCGAGACCTCCCTCCGAGCATCACGCGGCGCCCGTTTTGGTGTCGTGGTGTATGTTGTCATGTGCGGAGAATTCAGATGGTCCAGCGGGCATGTTGGAAGTGCATGGCCCAACCTTGGCCCGTTCCGTGTTGGGCAAGGTCTGCCCGGTGCGAAATCAAGGGTTTGCCATGCAAGTGTATATGTGGATATTTGTCGCTGCCCTGTAGTCTCGAAAGGATCATGGAGAGGACAATATAACTGTTTGTGTAGCAACTTTGCCAGCACCTCTCATTCAGGATCCGTCCCCGCAAACCGCCGGGGGTCCATTTAAAAGCCTGAGAAATTGCGACATGCTCCCACTCGCGGAAGCCCCAGCAGCAAACGGAGCAATTGGGAGGCAAACACTGCACTGTCCAAGAACACCGCATGGCTGAGGAAAGCCATGTGATTTACAAACCTGCAACCCATTCCCCGGCCCCATGTCCGCAGGCCCGACGCCTTGATTGAAAAGAGGTCTTGCCCTCTTGAGGTTGCGCAGATGTCACCTTCAAGGTCATCCTCGGCTTGAGTCGGGGGAGGCTGAGCCGAGGGATCTCCACATTGGCAATGCCCTGTTCTTTTGGGCACGGCAAATGGCTAGAATCTCAAGGTTTCAGGCAAGAAACCGCTCCATCAACGTCCTTAGCTGCACAGCACGGACGCCTCGAATGTGGTCGATTTGGAGGCTGCATCACTTAATTATCCATTCTTCCCCCAACGTAATCATGCTTTGGTCACCGCCCTGAAAAACGGGTCCAGTTCCAACGTCATTCGAAACCTGAAACCCTCATTTGACTTTCACGCAGCTGATGTCGAACGTCTCCCAATGTCGTTGGCAGGCCCCAGCCAACCTTTCAGCCGGGCTTCTGCGTGGGCAGCTTTGCTATGGCAGAATCTGGGGATTCTGGCAGCAAACCAAATTTTCGGCAAGGAATGCCTCGGATTCTGGAAAAAACTGCTGTCCGCTGTGTTTCGGAATGCGCCGACTTGCACATAGCTGGCCTTGCCTTGCCATCAAGAAAGTCTTGCTCACGTGAGGGCTCTTTTCCAGGCAAGCAAGACAGCTTTGTTGCTTAATTTATCTATGATTGATGCTGAAGGTCTTATTAAACAAACTCACGCTGGCAAACAACCAAAACACCCAAATGGCAAGCACCAAGCCGAGAAGCAGTGAGGCCAATCTGCTGCAAGGGTGGGGGCCTCCCCTGAACGCGAGGGAAATGTCGACTTTGGGAACCCAGCTTTTAGTGCTGCGCATGTCCAGCCAGCATCTACCCTTGCATCATGACCTAATGTGGGTTGCAGTGCGCGTTTTTGGATGTGGGCTTGTGAAGTTGACATGCATGATGCTGACTGACTGTGCATTATATGCTTCAGAATGAACATGCAGCTAGAGACATCTCGAACCAACACCCCAACAACGCACCCTGAACACAAAAACTCAAAGCTGCCCCAAACAAATCCTCTAGCAACCCTGATTGGCCCCACAGCCTCTGTAAACCTTGCTCGGTGCTTTGGGTGGGATGCACCGCCCCCGAAATGACCCCCCTGAAAGCTACGCGAGCAACAGGCGTTTAGAGCAAAGGCGGGGGCAGAAATATGGGTGCAAAAAAGGACAAAAAACTAGACTGTACCTTTTGCAGCCGCGGCTCCTTCGAAAGACACGAGACGACAACTCTCAAACCGCTACTTGTAGCTCAACACCCCAGCCCCCCCCAAAAAAAAACAAACGCCAACCCACACCCAACGCTCAACAAGTGGAACGGGCTAACAGAGTGGAAAATTGGGTTGGGAAAATAATGATCATGCTGCACATCAGTTTCACGACGCTCAAGTTTGAGCTTGCGTGGTACATGTATGGTCACCTGATCTTCATGCACCTTCCCAGCTGCCTGCAACACTGGCCGGCGGCAGGAGGCCATCATCGTTTTCCTGCACCGGCAGAGGCTCGTTCAACCAAGTGCCCCATTAATTCTGCAGGGCAGGATGGGACTTGTTGAGGCATGTGATTGATGACCAGCCATCGGCCGTCTCCGCCCCATCGTGACAAACACTAGACACTGGGGCAACATGGAAAGACTGACTAGGAACACTGAACACCAAGAAACACCCTTGAACTGGGCAACACTAACCACAACACTGGAACACAGGGCCCTCTGGACCGAAAACACTGACGGGATAACGCTGGAACATGGAGTCAAGTCAGCACGTTGCTTTGAATCTGAAAGGCGCCCATGCACATTTCAGCTCTAGCGAAGGGGCCGATGGGCGGTCTGGATCGAAAAATGGCGCGAAGGTGCTATTTGGACTGTGGGCATTCCCAGAACTATGCCAATGGTGCCACCCCTGCCTCCCACTGCATGCTGCCCGTGCCAGTCATCCAACTCACCATCCTTAGGTGGCTGACATGCTGTCAGGGTATCAAAGTGGGAACCCTGGCCGTACTGCATTATGACCGGGGAAAGCTAGAAAGCTTTCAAGAGAAGCGCTCTGCAACCAAGGATGCCTTGCTGTGGCCAACGAGTGCTTTGGGCACTGAGCGCGTGGTTGCAAGCAGGCTTTCACCCGCGAGACCTGCCTTCGCCGTGTAAACAGCCACAACCTGTGAACTATCAAGCTTTCTGCCCGCCTTCGACATTTGCGTTGCCTGGCGAAATTGAGGACAAACAAAGCAGCGCCCAGCACTGCAACTGTGCGTTTCCATACGAGTTGAGTTTGACTACGGCCTCACAAGCTTGGCACAAGCTTGGCAACTAGACCCCTCAAGACTGCACAAATGGAGTGGCCAACCCCTCGGCCAAGTATCTTCACACCATCGTCTGAGCCGATGTCCTTAGCACGCGTGAGGTGGAGAGGGGGGGTGCAAGAAAGCCGACAACACATGCAAGCTGCTTAGTGTTTGAAGCCAAACCCACGCTGGAGTAGGGGCCGGTCCACCTCTTTTTCAACTACAACATCAATCTGCTGCCCTTTCAGCTCTTGGTTTCTCACTTTGAATCCTGATGTTTATCTGCAGTGCAGGGTTGGGTGGGTCGAAAATCAAGCTCTTCCAAAACCACCATCCCAACAGCCACGCCAACTATCCTACCTGCAAGCCAACCAACTACAAACTTAGTCATAATCAAGACCTGGTATTAAGATTGTGTACCAAAACCATGCAAAGAATTGGATAACAAACAAACAAAAAAGCTCTAGGAATGCAACACTGTTCACATATTTATACAATAGCGTAGATTTGTTAGTTTAAGCATTCTCGGTGCTTCAAGCATTCTGCAAACAAGGCACAGCGGCCTTATTGAGTTTGTGGCAATGTGTTTATGTGATGTCGTTCGAGCCTTATTCCATGCAACTGCTTTTGGGATGTACGATTTGCTCAAGCCTGGGTGGTCCGAGGATTCCAGGCAGCTAAACGCCCTCTGCGCAGCCGTGGAACACTTGACTGAAAGTGTGAGGCGTCTCCACGCATGTCGAAATATTTCTCTGAACTCACGCAGCCTTGTTCCCGAACGCTTCAATCCCAAGAATGAAATCTCCTGCAAAGAAAGCCTCGTTGGCAACTCGTTGGGTCTGGTTCTAATTTTGCCCCAAGTGGCGAAGCTGAGGGCGCTGGCCTTCCTTGGCATGGGGGACGGCATGGGGGATGCCAGCGGCGACCGTGTGGAGCTGTCATCCTGAGCCAGGGATTCTGCTTTGATTGGGCATCTGCCTGTAACATTACACATGAACTTGAGTTTAGGCGCATCTTCAGGATGTGTGGCCTGTGGCTTCCCTTACATCATGCGCTAGGTGTTGGGCTCATGTCTGTCTTGCCTGACTTGTCCCTTTTATTCAAGTGCAACAAGCTTCCGAAGTGCCAAAAAAGAACAGTTCTTCCACCAAAAAACAAAAGGAAGTGGGCGCTCTGGAATGCGTTCTTGTTCGAGTTGGGGACTCCAAACCTTCTTGCACACGGCCCACGAAAACCCGGGTTTGGAAGTGAGAAATTGTCCAGAAGACACGCAAACAAATGGAAAGGTCCAAGTCAGCATGTTGCAGCACCACTCGCTCTCCTCCTTGGCTGCTTTGTTGTGCGATGTGGCCTGCCGAGGCCAACTGCAAACCGCCAAGGCTTGGAGTAGATTGCATTTGTTCGCCATTTTGGCACGGCTCTTTGACAGCCTGCGCAGGCGACCAGTGCTGCAACTCAAAGACTGTAGAGGCTCTGGCTGGAGTGGTGGGTTGAACTCGTTGTCCCTGAAAAGCGCAAATACATTCCACATTTGCAGCCATGCAGATTCACACACACAAAACTTGGAGGGGCACCTTCTCACAAAGGACACTGCTATGTCGCGAATCCCCTTCTGCTACG